ATGTCGCGAAAAAGTTTTGGTACTCGGTGTTAGATGGCGGTCGGTAGAGGCAGCAGATAAACTTGGTCGATGACTTTGAGGTGAATTTTAGCCATATGATATCAAGGTTCGCTGGTTCTAGCTTCTCCTCTCGAAGACATGAAAGGTCATTTTTAATGTACACACAGATCCCAAAATTATGTCGAAATCGGTGGTGTAGGTCATAGCCGGGATAAAGATAGTTCACAATAGATGTTGCGGAACTGATTTTAGTTTCAGTGAGAACAAGGATGTCAGGTCTTTGTTCTTCAAGATGTTGGTGAACTGAATTCATATTTGTACTTATTCCTCTTATATTGCTAAAATCAATTCTGAGTTGAGTTTTTGATCTTCTCTTTATATCTTTGCATGAAGGACCCCCAGGATCACCCGACGCCCGGAGATCCGAGTGGTCGGGTATTTTACCTCCGGAATATTTTGATCCTGGAGGCGCCATCATGCCAAGCCAAATTGCTATTTTCATATACTTTATGTTCCATTGTAGTAAATGTGAAATATTTATGTCTGAGAAAATAAGTGTAGTTGTATTTTTCATTGATCTTGTGAACCCATCCAAAAATTTTAGGCAGACTCAAAAATTCTTGTTTTGTATCACGAGGAGAACAAACTATTTAATAGATACAGCTGGGAAAATAAGTGCTAAAAAATTTCACTGCCTCCTGTACTATAAGGAGCTTGACTCCATGTTGCAGTTGGGTGTCATTAGTGAGTCACAAAGTCCTTGGTGTTCCCCTGTGCTACTTGTCGAAAAGGCCAATGGTGAATATAGATTTTGTTTTGATGGCCGTTTTATAAATGCAATAAGTAAGCATGATTCTTATCCTCTTCCTCATGTAGATAGAATTCTAAATAATCTTAGGAACGCTAAATTTATCTCGGCGATAGATTTGCGGAAAAGTTTCTGGCAAATTCCTTTAGATGAATTTTCGACGGAGAAGACTGCTTTTTCTATAATTGGCCGAGGCCATTTTCAGTTTAATGTTGTACCTTTTGGACTGTGCAATGCTACACAAACTCAACAGAGGCTGATACCATATTTGGTTCTAAGTATGAACCATTTATTTTTTCTTCTCGATGACATTTTAATTTGTTCGTCTACTTTAGAACATCATCTGGAGTTGCTTGTTACTGTGAAAGATCTCCTCAAACAGGCAGGTCTTACCAATGGTCTTACTGTGAACTTAGCAAAATGTAACTTCTTCCAAACTTCTCCTCCAAACCTCGGTTTTATTGTTGGAAATCATTTATTGGCTACAGACCCCGTTAAAGTGAAGAGTATGGTAAATCACCGTCGTCCCAGAAGTACTACTGAGGTGAAACGATTTATAGGAATGCGTTCGTGGTATAAAAGGTTTATTAAAGATTTCTCTTGTCTCGTAAGTCCCATAAACTCTCTTTTAAAGGGCAAAAAGAAAAATGAATCCATCTCTTGGACTGATGAGGCTGGAAGTGCGTTCAATTCCATTAAGGAAAAATTAATCTCTGCCCCTGTTCTTTCACAACCTGATTTTTCTAAAAAATTCGTCGTTCAGGCTGATGCTTCTCACCCAAAATGTTGACGGAGACGAGCGTGTCATAGGTTATGCCAGTCGTGCTTTGTCCAGAACCGAACGTAACTATTCTGTGACCGAGCGTGAATGCTGGCTGTCATTTTCAGTATTGAAAAATTCCGACCGTGGATAGAGAGCGTTAAGTTCACTTGTATTACCGACCACTACAGTCTTCTTTGGCTCAATAATTTGAAAAAACCTTCCGGAAAACTCTATCGTTGGTTAATTAAACTCCGGCAGTATACTTTTGATTTGGAACACAGAAAGGGTGTTGCTCTAAATGTTGTTCCTGATGCTTTAAGCCGCATCCCTTATCATTTTTCTAGCCCTGACGCTTCAGACGATCCTGTTTTGCCTTTGACTTCTACTGCTGCCGAGATGGAGGTTTCTGCTTTATCTTTCGACCTCTCTTCTGCTGATTTCTGGTTTACGTTCAAAAATTCTGAAATCTCCTGAACAATTTCCGCAATGGAAGGTGGAAAATCAGATGGTTTTTAAGTTCATCTCTATAAAATCCTATTTCAATTTCAGTGCTCGTGAGTGGAAAATTCTAGTTCCTAAATCTTTTCGATTGTTAGCCTAATGTAAGCTTTATTCTTCTCTTTTGTTTTTATTATCTTTTTTATTTTAAGTATTGGCACAGTTCCCATAGAAATAGCTTTGCATAACATTGTGTTGTTGCGCTGTAAAGCACTGTTTCTTTCTCTTTAGTTTTTTTGTACCTTGACATATCGCCACAATTCTGAATAATGCTATTTATTTTTTACCTTGTATCTTTACCTTGGCCATTTTTTAGGAAATTGTAAACTTCATTTGATTCCTTATTCTTATCTTAACCTTTACATCTTGGAATCAATATTACCTTCTATCTTGTTAGTCATTCTCGCTGACTTTCCTTTTTACCTTACCTGAATTTGTAGCCTGCTTGGCTTACCTTTTTGCCTGCCTCAATTACCTTATCTTTTTAATTACCTTGAGGCAGGGTATCTCCAATTTTGTATGCACATTTTGTGGCTTACAAGTTCGACTGAACCTTTTAAAGTAGCCATTTAGTGTGCTTATGTTGTCTTTTGAAAAATTTGACAATAAGTTCCTTGATGGACAACTTTCTGTAGAGTAACACCCTAACCATTTCTTCATTTTCCAATTTGGAATGAATGCCTTTACCTAATAAACTCTGTTCTTCTCTCCTTGTTGTGGTTCCTTTAGTAAACCCTTACCGATTTGACATTTTCCCTAAAGCGACCTACCAATTATGACTCCTTTTCAGAAGGCGAATGATACACGAAAGATATCAAAACTAAAGAGCACTAACAATGTTTGTTTGACAGGACAGAATATACTGGCAGGATTTCTTTATTTTTTTAGTTAGTTTCCAATGTTTTTGCAGGTAGCTGTTTGAAATAGTCATCTGCGATAACTATTTTTTTTTGGAGAGGGATAATGTAGCAATTAAGCTACTTTGTCATTTTATTATTATTTTAAGCATGTAAATTTATTATATTTTAGGTGTTTTTAATTGTAATCACCGGAATAACTGTATATATTAATTATTGTAATGCATTTAAGCCAAGCATACCTATTGCCATTTGAATTTGGGTTTAGATTGCAATTAGGAGTAAACCTGACTTTAGTACTGCTTCCATTCAAGTGGCACCAGCCCATCTCTATTTATTGATTTTAACTTAATTCTAATTCGGCAATTGTGAATTGCGACGACCTTAGCTTAGGATGATTCACTCTTTCTTGGTCGCTCGATTAGGAGAGTCGACATCAGTGACACCCTTGTGATTTTTGGGCGGGCGTGCTGAATTTTTCAAAAAAGTCTCTTGAAGGGGTGAATCTCTCAATTTCTTTCTCTGTGGTGCGGAGTGCCATTTATGGCTAATTAAAGAAGTAGTTTGTTCGTCCACTCGGCTACTTTTTATTTGTGAAAATCGGAACATGCCAGGTATGTGACAAATCCTATTATATCTTGAACATCCCTTAAGTTTATAATTATTTCCCCAGCCTATCTTGATTTGCAACCTCCTCTGGTGATGCCAGTACCTATATCGCGTACCAAATCATGGTATAGGAACCCCTTATTTAGGGTGAGTCCTGTAATTTTGTGTTTTATTATAAACTTAATCAGGAGACAAGCTTTTTGTCCATTTCACCTTTCTTTTAATAAAAAAGAGACCAATTGATTTTTCTGATAGGGTCCTACTCCTACTCCTAGTCCTACGCCTACCCTTACATCCAGGCCTAGTTTTGGGCCAGTTCAATAAGGACGGCATGCTTCCCTGAGGTTCCTATGTCCTTACTTATGTGGTCAAATTCATGGTCTTTGATGGATAGTGCCTATCTTCCCTGATGACTTCTCGACATGGAAGTAGTATCTAGGTACAGGTTTCTTAATGCTTAATTTTTACCATATAATGTTTATTTTTTATTGAGCATTGCCCAATTGGGATGTCTCATTTCCAGGTTTAGTTCGCTGCTCGGTTAAGCCTGTGAGTTGTCAGAGCAGAAGAATCAACGAAGTCAAATTATATTGTATATTTTTCATTGAGCATCCCTTCATAAATGGAATGACTCATTTCTATGTTCAGTTTGCTGTCCGGTTGAACATATGAGTTTAAAGGGCAGGTAGACCAGTAAAGGGTCACAAATTAATAAAATGATCGATCATTGTTATTATTTTACAGAATAATATTTAATTCAGGGTGATACTGAGTTGCATTATTCTTACATTTATGATTTTCATTAAATTAACATACTAGTTTTTATAATTTTTCATTAAACTTTCATTGAACATAATTAAGTGGAGAGTGTTGCTGTATTATTTGTTTTTATTCTTGATATTTCAGATTTTATATTGAGGTCTATTTCGGAGTTCGAGACCTTATAAACAAAAACTTCGTAGCGCCCTTAGTAAACACCCCTTACACACGACCATAAATGCTTTCCGATGAACAGCTGCTGTAAGCAATAACACCTTTTTAATCCAAAGTAATTAAAAACGTTACAACACTGTAATCGATTATCTACGATACCAACACTTAAGTTTTCCGATTTTGTTTGCGCAATCTCTTTATTTTTTATATTAGAAATAATTGATAAAGACCTTAACCTTAAACCAAATTTCCGAAATCCAAAATATTGGCATTGTAATTAATCGATCAAACAATGTTTATGCCAAATTTGAGCCAATTCTGATGTGATGTGAGCTTTTTTTATTCTTTCTGCAGACGAATTTAAAGAAATTGACCAATCAGAGCGCAGAACTGACAGATTTCAAGGTCATTACGCCTCATTAAATAATTGTGTGCCAATCAATCAAACAAACAAAAGAACACACACCAGTTAAAACACAACACGTGATAAAAATAAATGGTAGTCATGCCAGAATGATCGTACCTGCCTCACCTTCAGGTCCTGTCGTATCGTCTTCATGTTGTTCTGCCATTTCTGCGAGCTCGTTCAGTCTGGCGACGTCGGCCGCGAAGTTTTCCTGGTTGATCTCTTCTTCGCGCAAGGTTGACAGTACTGCTTGGTGAAACTCCAGAAGATCATCACCTGAAAAAAATTACCACGGTAACAGTAACCAACAAAAAAAGTCGAACTCCCTATTTGACCTGAACCGTATTTGTCCCAAAGACAGTAGAAATCAAGACAAATTTGATAGATCGCCACCGCCCCAAAACCATACAGTGTTGCTACTTATGTTCGCTTGTGTAATACAAGAGTTGGAAGTTCTAACTACTACAGTGCGATATTCGAAACCGATAAGTTCTAATATAACTTTTTTACATTTTTTTTTGTAATACAAAGTCAAAATGTTAATCCTGAACTTAACCGGATATACGAACATAAGTGGCAACGCTGTCTTACGGTTTAGGTTGGATTTCTCAAGTCATGGTAAATACTGTCGGGATAAACATGCACTAACATTCGATGGAAGAAAATGATCAGTGCGTGAGAGATATTTAAATTAACTTATAGACAATAATTCGTAGCGTCAACACAAACACTTGCACACAAAAAATATTACCTATTAATCGCTGTACGAAATGAGCTGGAACGAGTCCTCTACGTCCATCGAGTAGTTCTGCGTCCAAGTAACCCCCAGGACCCATTGGTTCGCCCCAAACTAGCAAATAATCACCGGCAACGATGCTGAGCTCTTCTTCCGATTCTGGTTCCGGTTCGTAAGAAAACCTATAGCAGAAAATATTATTATTATCAACCAATAGTGCTGTGCCATTCTGGCAGAAAATCCCAATCCTAAAATTTTTTTAAGTTGTGTCATTCAATTAAGGAGAAAAAAAATATGAGACTGTGATTTACCCATAGACCCTTATACCATCACTAACTAATGAATGATGATACTTGTTTAACCATTAAGAGCTTAGTAGTTTGAGTCTTACCTTGCAATATAAACAGAGCACCGTCCTTTTCCAGGTATATCCAGCATATCCACTTGACCGTCAACCACCTGCTGTCCGTTCAAAAAACTCCTGTCTCCTGTAGGGATACCACCGACTGTGGCGCCACCGCTCCAATCCGATTCTAAACCATCTGTAAGCATTCGTGGTCGTAGATCAGTTATACCCGAAGTCCCGGTCCAGGGAGGAGGATGAGGAGTTACGGGTGTGGCAACCCTGCGTTGTCCTGACATAGGGAAAATCGGGATTTTTAGAAAAAAGGACGGAGGATGATGAGAGTTGATGCGTTTGAAAAATGGAGAAAGGAGATAGATATTGAATATAAATATGCGAATGATTGCGAGTAGTTGAAGTCAAGAGGAAAATGAGAATAGAGAGTTTTGGTTAGCAGAAATATTGGCAATTTTGGTCGATGTTAGGTCAGACTGCTAGGAAGCTCTTAGCCTAGTTTAATGCTAATTGCTGATGTGCATTTTCATTAACAATATCAGCCATAAAGAATTGTCAAAGTCTAGGAGCCCAAAACTCTGTATTAGAGAGAATTTTATCACTTCGATTTAGCCGTCCATATTGTGAGCACGCGCAGTTTTGATTAACTTCAGTAACGGTATTTACTAATATGATGATTAATTATTTATTTACAGGGTTTTCGCAGTTGAAGTTTTGGAAAATGCCAAAATTGGTTTGTTGACATGAATTATTTAAAATTTTTGTTCAGTATCTTCATTGTCGCTTGCTGATTATGTATTTGTACATGATATTCTCATATTTTGTGGCCCTGGTACTTTTGATTCCTTTGCTTTGCGAACTTTGCGCTGTCTTGGGTTTTGTTGTGCTACTTCACTGTTATAGGATTTTTGCAGATTTTCCGGTGCCTCGGTAATTTCAAATTTACGTTACACTAAGTATTTCCTTGTTCGAACCTTTGCTGGTGGTGTGGACTTAGATTACGGTCCTCCATATTTTTCCCTAGATTTTTGGGAAATTTAGGCAATTTCGAACAATAATTTTATCATGGATATTGTAGGCGTCAAAGGGATTTTCTCCTGATGAATAAAAAAGTCTTTACTACTCCAAACATTATCACTGAGGTGCACCAGAGCCATCCACTCTGGGCAAACTCCGATGTCAGCATAAGCCACACGCGATTTAGCTAATATATTTTTAGGAAAAAAAATCCAATTGACTCTCAAGCATTGGCATGGTATATTAAAGTAATGTAAACCTACAATATATGTATTTCTAATCGTGGGGTCTTTACGTTTGGATTCACCTTTTTGAAATTAAATTCATCTTTTCATAAAAGGTAACTACCGTCTTCTATGACTGTAACCACGATTTGTTGATTTGGTATCTTACCAGCTTTAGTTTTCATTTTCTCCCTTTTTTATTTTGTTTATTAGGGAATTGCTTCATAGCATCAATCCATATTTTTACCCATATTTTGTACACCAAAGTGAACACAGCGGTATTGAGCTTGTAAAAATCTGCAAGTCAACATTACTGTTTGAAGAAACCTATCTCGCTATCTCGAACACTGTGATTCTTATTTGGACTGGACTGATCACCGAATGATCCCATCTGTTATTACTCTACACGTACCGATGGAATCAACAGAAACGACCACAACGCAGGTTAAATATTGATTGAATAAAAGATGGAGACACCAAATCAAATTTCCAGCCCCTACTAGATGAGAAACTTTCTGCAGAATATATATCACGATATCAAATAGCACAATTTAATGCTTAATACTCTCAATCATTGATTGTACAGTGAGTTGCCTTATGTTTTCGTAAAGTGCCATAATTTTGCCGATGATTTCGGATTTTTAGAATCATCCATTCGTGAAAAGCTGCCTCAAGGAGTAGAGTGAAGACCACCTCACTCCATCCAGGATTTCGAATCCAGAGCTTGATCCAGACTAGTCCAAAGTATTTTCGAGGCAAATAAAACCCATTCCAACAAGGGAGACATAACCTAATAACGACAGATTTTCTTTGCGAACTTGAACCACATTTTCTTTTCTTTCAAATCTATCTAATTCTGCTTTTTATACACAAATTATTTAAATATTTTTCAAGAGCTATAGTTTTACCTAGTTAGAATTAACCATCAATGGTTAGCTAAATTACATTAAAGTTGCATTCATTTTCTTGTGGTTCATTTCAAAGTGCCTGGCCTGGGGTTAAGTTACAAATACAGAGTGCTATAACAGTTTTTCTTTAGGGTTTTCACGTACGGCCACAAATTTAAGTATACGGTCAGCCCTTTTAACTAAAGGCTACACATTTAGGTGTACGGCAACCTCCATCGGAGCCTTCATAGTTGTAAGGCTACCTCTACCAGAGCCTACACCTTTTCGTTTGGACGGTTATAGATACCTTTGTTTTGTTGAACCTCACAACTGGTTTAACCATATCAGCTAAAGCCAGTAACCAGGTTAATTGAACCTGGTGCCATCACTTGGAACATATTGGTATATGCAGTAGTTGCATAGCCTGTAAATTTTCAAATGTTTATTATTTAAATTCTATTTTCACTTGTGACTGGTTCTTGTGACGACTAATGATTTTCCTCGATTTTAATCAATATTTTTGTCGTTACTTTGCCCCATCTCCATTCTTCAAATCTAGGAGAGCTAATTAATTACTTGTGATGAATCTTCCTTTCACGTTTGGTGGTTCCGAGAAATAAGGCCTTTCTGAAGAAAGTAATTTTGTCTTCGCCTTTGAGGGATTTTGACCTCAATGTTCTCAATTATTGAATTTATGGTACATTGAGTTACCTTACGTTGCGTTACGTTTTCGTAAAGTGCCATAATTTTACCGATGTCGGATTTTTAAAAACCATTTCCTGAAATTAGTGATATAAAATGACAGCAAAGAATACTTAAACTAAAGCTAGTACGATACCAGTATGTTCCAAATCATGGCAGCAGGTTCAATTATTCTGGTTGAGTGGTAGTCCTAGTTACAGGTTGTAGCTGGTATGGTCAAACCAGTTTTAAGGTTCAACAAAACCAAACAAAGGTACCTATAACTGTCCAAAAAGGTGTAGGCTCCGATGGAGGTTGATGTACACTTAAATGTGTAGCCTTTAGTTAAAAAGGGCTGGCCGTATGCTTAAATTTGTGGACGTATGTAAAAACACTTAAGAAAAACTGTTACAACACTCTGTATTTGTAACTAAACCTTATAATTATTATTTGAAAGGAAATAATATGTGATTCAGGTTTGCAAAGAAAATTTGTCATTATTAGGTTTATGTCTCACCTGTTGGAATGGGTTTTATTCGCCTCGAAAATACTGTAGGTTAGTCTGGATCGAAGTCTGAATTCGAAATCCTGGAGTGAGTGAGGTGGTCTTCACTCTACTCCTTAGGGCAGCTTTTCACTAATGATCAATGGCGGCTAGTGGCAACCCAGTGTGGTTGTGCGCTCTTTCCAAAATTGCCCAGCAGGGCAAATTTTTTTTGGGGTGCCATGACCTTTTTTACTTTTCTATGTAAATATATATGTATTTAAATGAGGCTTAAATGTTTGTCTTTTAGCCACAATACATATTTGATATTGAAATGAATAATTAAAAAAAAAACATGAACAACAGACATCAAACCGCCAAAATGGTGAAAAAATATCGAAATAAGTATACTCGATTGAGTGGAAGCAACAGTGGAAGTGTGTATTTAAATAGCGCAATGGACAACCAAGCGGGAGAGAATGTACAAGACAGTCGCAGGGCGCGGTTTTTCGTTCCGATTATGCGAATTTAAAAAATAGAAAAATTAGTAGATTAAAAAATATTAATTTAATTTTATTTTTTCGATTTTGGATTCAGTGCGCGAGCACTAGCGCACTTATTGAGAAGCCGCCCCTGCTAATGATTAAATAGGAGTCAGAATCCACTATGGGAAAAACGTGCCAAGCAAAACTTACTGAATGAATGGTTGTGAAAATACGAAATTATCGGCGAAATTATACGTAAACGTAACGCAACGTAAGGCAACTCAATGTGCCATAAATTCAATAATTGAGAATATTAAGGTCAGAATCCTTCAAAGGCGAAGACAAAATTTAACTTCTTCAGAAAGACCTTATTTCTCGGAACCACCAAACGTGAAAGAAATTGAAGAAAATCATTAGTCGTCAGCGTCACAAGAACTAGTCGCATGTGAAAATAGAATTTAAATAATAAAGATTAGAAAATTTTCAGGATCTGCAACTACTGGAATTAATGTTTATTTTTATAACAGAAAAGTGTAAACAAAGCCTAATATAATCAGGGAAAAATTAAATATCTATAGGAATTTTGAATGGAAAACTGAAAATAAGTGTGAAATTGTTGTGGCAATTTTGGCAACAACAGTTTCACTAATAGCCTAAAAAAGCAACGGGCTTCATCACAAGCAGATATCAGGATTGGTTTGATGGAACAATAAATAAATCCAGAACATTGTCAGCAATGACATCATAATATTACGTTTCACTATGGACCGGCTCTTGGTGGTGATTTATGGCTGTGTTAATGGGAACCCGCTAGCGCCGAAAGCGCCAGGAGTCGCTAACGGTAGCCGTTGAACGACCTATTTATGTTTCAAATTTTTTTTCTAAACTCTAAACATAACCTAACAAAACCCTAATCAGGCTCTCTAAACCACGTGATTTTGGCGAGAGTGGAAAATTTGACGTTTGTTTGTTTATCTTAAGTTTATTTGGAATATTTTCAAGCTAATTACAGTTTACTTTGGTATGATACACTTTTTGAGATGCAGAGCGAATAATTAAAGACTTAAATGCAGGAAAATCGGGATGTGGGCGAACGGTTAGTTTGAAAAAATGTCCAGTTGACATTTTAACCCACAGTTTTCACCAATGTTTCACAAATTTCAATGAGTAAATGAAGGCCTACAAAAGCTTAGATTCTCACAAGTATTTTGAGTCTGGCTTAATTTTAGATGCAGGAACAGTGGTAGTGAAAAATTTTCACGTTTTAATCGGAAAATTTTGAAACAGAGGGCAATGAAAAAAGCCTGACATCATCCTTGTTACCTTGTTGAAACTACTTCCACAATCAACTACAAGACAAGTTTGTGGCATTTTTAATTAGAAGAAACACTAATGAAGTCAATAAAATAAAAAAATAAACAGAGTTCATTCACAAAACAACCACAAAATGCACTTCAAAAAGCTTTAAATTCCATACTCTCATATACGGGATAATGAACTTCCGCCCACAACGCACTTTTTGACAGGTCGTTGGAATGCCTAATTAAGAATTTTGTATATAATGACATCGGCATTTCCATAATTTTGAATATCCATGTCGAAAATACGAAAATAAAGCAGCTCTCACCAACATATAAGCAAAAACCAAAAGAAATAATATTAGGCAATCCAAACTATGTGACATTCAAGATGGCGTGGCGGCCACACATGGACCAAAAAACACAAAAAAAATATTTAATTTCTGCCCTACTTAATAGTTTACGTGTGAACAAATATTTTATTATATAATCAAAATCAAAGCTGCAAGCAAATCTCGAAGCAAAATAATTGAAATGAAAACACATATTCAAAACAAACTTGCTGGCCGCCACGCCATATTGAATTTTTCGTTTTGACAGACGGATTGGATTGCCTAATGCAATGAACTATAACCAAAAACTGGAATGCTAACACATAATGACGAACTTGAAGCCTAATGCAACTCCTGCGGAGGGGATACCTGTTTTTGTCGCACTCATTATGTTAAATGGCGAAAATTGCTTCCAACACGTATTCCATTTGATGAAACCTGTGAAGGGAAATATGACAAAAGTTTCGAAAACGTCATATGTCAGCGAGCAACAGAAAAAAACAACATTCCCCCTTCTGGCATCTGTCTTTCATGGCTTAATTTTTTTGTCAGATATGGCAATGTGTGCGCATTCCAGTTTTTAGCTATAGTTCATTGGCCTAATGTAATGTTAGGTTAGGGGTTAGGGTAGATAAGACATTTATCAAATTTCATATTAGCGCTAACAACAGCTAACTAAAAATAGCACTTTTCAAATGAGCTAAGAGGGCTGACAGGCGCTTTTGCGCTAACTAGTTGTTTATCGGTCAATTAGCCGAAAGCGCTAACACCCGCTAAGTGCCGTTAAACACAGCCATTGATTCCAACGCAGTGCGAGAAGGATAGAGCTAATTGGGATAAAACACAAAGGTATTTGACGTGCTTGTTGTTTTTGTCAAGCAAGTTGTCAACGTTTGTGTCAACGTTAATTTATTCCGATCGGTTTATTTTCGTTTTTTTTTTTTAATATCACTTCCGGATCTGACTATTTTGTTACATTTGAGTGAAAGGCCAATGAAATATCAATTTTTTAAAAATATGACTGTTTGTCACAAATAGCTCCATCTCTTTCGGACCTCCCTTTCTAATATTGGCTCATTGGAACAAACACTATTCTAAAATATGGCCAGGGCCGGTCCAGGTTGTTAGTCAGAAGAGGAAACCCTACAATATAATATGACAAAATTACCGCAAAATTACCCAAATTCTGCTCGCAAGGAACAAACCGATCTTCAAGTAAAGGCGAGAAGGACAAGAATGCTAAAAAACCAATTGTGAACAACGAAGTCAAGTGAATTGGCTCGCCTGTTGTCAGTGGCTGCTAACACTAATAACACCCGAGAAAAATGAAAACGCCTTATCTCTTCCAAAGTAAAAAAAAAACCTGTTTGTTCATTGACAAACTCCCTCTACTAAAGGTCCAAATTCCTAGATGTAGAGATGGGACGCCGCTTCTCAAAGATCTCGCTTCTATCAACGTCCGATGTAAGGAGTACTTTCAGCAACTCTTGAAAAGAGATTCCAATATAGGTGTGAGATCTTCAATAAAGTCCCTTAAAATGCCCATTCAGAACTACCTGAGTGATGTGTCTTTCCATGAAGAAGTTGAGAAAGCTATCAGCCAACTAAAGAATAATATACCTACCTATCTGCTGGGTTGGACGGAGTCCCTGTTGATCACTTTTTGGTGGGTGGTGTTGAACACATACATTGCCAAAATATGGACAGAGACAATCACCCACTGATTTGCGAGATACCTCTATCATCACATTCAAAAAAGGCGATAAGGCACAAAGTGAAATTTACCGAGGAATATCAATCACTGCTTTGTATCTACAGCTGGAAAAACTTTTGCCAGAATTCTCCCCAACTGACTTCTGCCTTTATCGGAAGCAACCCTACCTCTACCTGAAATACAGAGTGACTCCAGCCTAACCGAGAGACAACAGACATGTTCTCCAGTACAAGACAAATGCAAGAAAAATCGAAAGAGCAACACACCTTTGTCTATGGCATTTAAAGACCTTGTCAAACTCTGTACTGGCAAACATCGAGGAAGGACTACAAACTATCTACCTACACTAAATGCATACATACGAAAGCATCGGTTAAGACAAAAATCCTATACCAGGCTGCCTTGAATACTAATGCACCTGATCCATCCAGTTGTAACTTTCATTGGACGTCACGTCTTAGAAATATAAAATACTTTCCATACCTCGGTAGTTATTTTTCCACAAATTTAAACCTCGAAGCGGAACATTGACACTGATTGAATTGCGACAATGCAGCTTTTGGACATTTCTTAACAAAGCATGTTTGACAACCACGACATAAGTGCCCAGACTAATAGCTCGTAGTCTCAATGCCAACACTTGTTTACTCATGTGAAGCCTGGAAAATCTATAGACGGCACTTGAGGTGTTCAGAAACGTATTACCAGCGCCGCTAAAGGGGAATACTCGAAATAAAAAGATAGGACCAAACAACAGTATCCTCGAGGAAATCAATTCCATAGGCATGCAGGTAATGCACACAACATAAGCATCGTTGGGCTAGTCATGTGGACCGCATGCAAGACTCACGTCTTCCAAGTAGAAAATGGCCAATGCAGCAATGGCAATTTAAACGATACTAAGATGTCCTCAAGGCTAACAGAAAAGCGTGTCATATCGATGTGGGAATATGGTTCTGAATATACCCCTGTGGCGACGAAGTACCTATATCCATCAAGGCTCGGAGTATTTCGAACGACAAAGGCGAAGGGATGTGGAGAGCAAACGGAATTGTGGAAAAGATCGAGGACATCTGATAGGAGCTGGTTTACAACATCGACCGGATAACGTTGATGGGGTGCCCAAATAATGTGAGAGAAATTGTGGATTGTTGGTCCAGAATAGGCTTATTTAACCATCGAAGAACCCGTAGATACTGATGCTGCCAAGATTCTTCTAATACTCGTTAGCGAGTGAATGTCTATGATGATGATCTTATTTTTATTTCTTAGCTATTTTGTGAATAAAATTGCAAGTTCGCTGGGAACCAGACAAGAATCCTGGCGTTCATAAGACTTGTTTTATTTTGCGCTAGGACTAGCACATAATTTGCATGCACCAGACTTCCAGGCCTGCAATCTCACTCAATTGCCGATTTCTCATAACTCATTAAGTATATTATTGGTTCCAATTTCAATATTCTGCTATTATACATATACATATAAGCATGCAGGGTGTCCGGAAAGTCAACGATAATACTGAAAGGGCTGCTAAAACAACTCATGAGCATCCAGAAAAACATAATATGACCTCAGTAAAAAATCGATGGTTTTCGAGGTATTGCCACTTTAATGAAATTTGTTAAACTCGTCCTCTTGGACCAATGATTTTTTTGAAAACTACCCATTATTCTAATATACAGTTTATTGTAATGACTTACAGTGAATAAACGCGAAACTAATCAAATTACTCTGGTTCCTGGAAAAATAATTACTTTTGGACTTCGGTTTCCTGAAATCTGGTTAACCAAATGTCAAAATAGTTACCGGCCATCGAATGTCGGTTCTCTTGGTTTTATCTGTAATTTCTGTTAACAATTTTTTATTCCATATTCGCGTTCACCAAGTAACCGGAATTTTCAGTAACCATTTGTCAACTAATTTGGTTACTTTGGTTAACGTTTTTTTTTTTTTTTTGAAGACACGATACCTTATGAGATCATTCTGAAAAATTAAACAAAAGTTTTTACTTAAAGTACCAAAAATGAAGAAATAAAATAATATGTTCGAAGTGCCTACCACCAACGCGAATGCAGGCGCGATATATTTTTGAAAATTAATTCTTTATCCATTTTGAATCAAGTCATATTATGTTTTACTGGATGCTTATGAGTTGTTCCACCAACCTTTTCCTTTCAGTATTATCGTTGATTTTCCGGACACCCTGTATATTAAACCAAAAATACATGGAAAATATTATGATGTTAATAATTGAATATTGTACTTTTGCTCTGAAGTTATTTTTTCACTTGACCGCATTCTCATTAAAGATCATATTATATGTATAGGTGTCATCAAAAATTGCAGTTGGTTATGCTGGCTCAAAATACTCTCTACTATCATTTTATTTAGATTTAGTTGGGAATTCCATAAAGGTATTTAGTCCTATATATTAGGTAAGGTGATGCCTTTTCCCACTCTGCATAATCTAGCTACAAAAATTCAAATTAAAGAGACTCTAACATTTACTTTATGTTAATTTTATCTGGATCTAGGCTAAAAGGTTTCTGGAACAGGATATTGAAAACTCTATAGACAACCCTGGGTGAATAATTAAGCTCGGGATGCAGGAGGATAATGACAGATGAAATTTTAATTTAGCAAATTCCATACTCTTACCCAAATCAACTTCGTCCATAGCTTTTAACTTTATGCTCATCTGAGTGGCTCCTAAATTATTGAAATGTGAACTCAATGGATTGGAGAACGTTACTGCGTTAGTGTAGCTGGTGGTCACAATCGGAAGTTGGTTAGAATACTGGTTGAGGGTTGAATATTGGTTGAGCGTGCTCGAAATTGGGTTGTTGAACGAAGGGTTGTTGTAGGACGAAACTTGACCTATAAATAAAAGAATTTATACTTTCGAAAAATTGTAAAAAAAATAAAATACAGCAAAAAATCCGCCAATAATAATGTTCACTTTCGTGTGTGAGTAGCATGCGCCCCATCAATCCAAGCTAAATAACAATAATTCTTACCAAGTACTCTACTAGGATTAGACGACACCAATGGATTAGTAAAGGTACTATTCGTTATACTATTTGTACCATAATTTGAAGGAGGCACTATAGAAGTCCCTAAGCCACTTGAAGGCAACGAATTGGCTCCCATAACGTTACTCATTGGTTGCATCAAAGAACCTAAAACTGACGTTGGTTGTCCAATACCGCTCAACTGGTGATGGTGTCCGAGACTGTTCATTCCGGTGGTACCAATCAATGGCTTGTTGGAGGTGTAATGCTGACCCAAACTGTTGTAAGTAGAAGCGTTGTAGCCACCGACGCTTGCTGGATTTGAGACGTAGGTTGGACCTGTTGTAAAAGTGCCAAAATAAATTAAGATTTCGTCCTTTGCCTTTATGTGGATAAGTAACTGCAAGCATGAGCATGATCAATTTTTGAGCAAGCGTTGTACAAGCTTGATTATGCATGCTTGAACAAGCTGCCAAAGCAAATGTACGCTCAATTGCACACACTGCATTCTTGTTAAGCTTGCAGTTACGTGTTTAGCGACATCAGGAATAACTTATTTGCGAAATGAACCAAGTTTAGTCACGAGGTTAATTTCCTTGTCGTGGAACGAAAATTGATCGTCAGCTGGATGAACTCTAGTAATTACGAGCAAGCGAAATTGACGAGGGGTAGAATCTGCATATCTTGGAAATGCGAGAATTTAATATGGCAACAAGTTTTATAGAGGAACTATAAATATTTAACAAAAAGGTATGGATAAAAAATGCTTCCATAATTATTATTGTCATCAAGCAAATCTAAGCAACTTTAGATAACCGAATGTATTCAGAAGGAAAATGGGAAAGTATATAAAATCAAACTATAAGTATAGGTAACTCAAGGTATAGATAAGATAAAGATCACCGTCGGTGTTGATGACTAATAACTTATATATCATAGGTAAGAGGTACTCTCGTTATACAGGGTATACCATTTAAAACGACACAGGCTGAATATCTGTTGCCACTTTTTTTTTTCTTTCAAATCGCTCGTACACGTAATTTGTTTGTGTTGTTTGAAACATTTTCTGCACTAACTCAACCTTTAAAGTGGAGTGGGGACCAACCCTTACCATTCAAAATGGAACAGGGGGTCGAGTGATACCTGTTTTAAAAGAGCGTTCAATTTTCTTGCAAATGACATTAAATGAAAGAGAATTGAACGCTCTTTTAAAAGAGGTATCACTCGACCCCTTGTTGCATTTGAAATAGTATGGGTTGGTCCCACCCCGCCTAGAGGGTTAAAGTTGAAGTGCTAAAAATGATTGCAGAAAACATCCCCGTTTGAAAATCAAATCACGTGTACGAGCGATATTTTTCTTAACAAAATTTTTAGCCTTTTATATTTTAAATAAATTGTTTTTAAAAAGTTAAGTTGCTGATATGAATACATAATTGGCGCAGTCATGCGGATTTTTGAATTTTAATTCTCAGAGTGTGTTAAACTGAGTAAAGCTAAAGACACTTCAAACTGCAAAAAATTTCGAAAAAACTGGAACCTGGTCGCGCGAAAGGCTTTGATTTGCAATGCAAATTTTGGATTAAAGTAAATTTGATTCAGCGATACCCACTTCTTATTGAAATAAGTGTACTGGGAATAAGAAACATTGAAAGACCAACGTGTGGAAAAGGGTTACAGTTATTGTATTGTCACAGTAAATAAAATCATTGATTCACTGAAAAAGGAACAAAATTTGTGAATATTTTTTTTGAAAATTTTATTTTCAATTTTAAAAATTTTAAATTTTTCAAACCTTATATCAGATGAGACAAAATCTAAACAAACAAACCTGATTTATATTTCTTCTTGATTACTTGAATAAATACTTCAAAATGGATGGAAATCTGAAATCCATTGTACAACTATTGAAACTTATCGATGGCGAAAGCCAATATCTTGAATATTTTATCACAAATATGTATGAATTTTATGATACCTATTATACCGGTGAGCAAGCAAAAAAGGATTATGTTGTAACCGCTATAAAATCCAAATTAATCAATAATGCAGGCAATTTACTTACCTGATCCTAAATCATGGGATGACAATAAAGATGCACTTAGACTAAAATATGAAGACCCATATTCTCGACAGAACTTGGTGTAAGAACTCATATTCACGTCTAAAACTACATACGAAAACATATCGCTACCCAATTCCGGAAACTAACAAAGAAATAAAATCATTTCTAGGACTCGTTGAATATTATAGGAAATTTATGAAAAAAACTTTGCCAAATTAAAGAAGCCACTACCATCATGTTTAAAGAAACATAAGAAAATCATGCATGATGCATGATTTGAATTTGTGAAAAGCTGCGAGACATGCAAGAACATATTGATGAACGACCCAATTTTACAACATCCGGATTTCAATAAACCATTTTTATCAACAACTGATGCTTCAAATTATGCAATAGTGTTATCACAAGGACCTATTGGTAGTGATCTTCCAATCGCATACGCGAGCAGGACATTGAACCCAGCATAATGTGATTATTCGACTATAAAAAAAGAACTATTAATCTGGGCAACCAAATATTTTAGACCTTGCAGTTTTAGAAGAAAGTTCATAATTCTATCTGATCACAAATCATTACAATGGTTATTTAATAACAATGATCCTAGTTCAAAACTGATACGATGAAAATTAAAGCCATCAGATTTTGACTATGAAATAAAATACAAAAAAGGAACCTTAAATATGAATGCGAACGCTTTATCAAGACCTCCAATGTAAATTAATACTATCCATTCTTCAAATCCCGATGCAAAATTAACGAATTTGAATGATGAATTTCGAAGACAATTCGGAGAAACGTTAAAGGATACACCCTTGAATAATGACGATATAATAAGAAAATATTTCCTAGACACTGAACTTTACATGCCAAAACCAGAAAAGAAATCAATACAATCACACCTAAACCAAAATCGAAAATCAATATAATTTCACAAATCATAATACCAGCAAAAACAAAGAAAGTTATTCCAATAGGAAAAGGCGAATCATCGAAAATTCTAGAAAAAAATCACCAAAGATTCAAAAAGAGAATTGAAAGAATGAACAAACAATTACTGCACCTTCAGATTCAGAAGATGTACGAAAGGTTTCAGCACCTCCAGAACCAGAACAAACTAAACACACATCACAAGAAAACCCTGTGTTAGGAGCACACGTCAATTTATTTAATAACTAAATAATCTTTAGATACTCTAATAATAATAGTAGATAGTCAAAGCGGGTCCTAGGACCAAAATCCGACCATAACCTCAATCTTTCATTCTTGACACGTGGTGAATGCGCCGTCGTTGACACGAAGGTGGATGCGTCGTCGGCGCCATCTTGTCAAACCTCATGGCGCCATCTGTCGTGAGTGCGGTGAATTCTTGCAATTGATCGACAGGAATGGCTCGGGGAATCACGGGTTCCTGTAATATGGAGTGTGCGTGGAAGGGATTGTTCCGAGTCGTTTCGAAATCGCTACGTATAGTTAATTATGGTTCGGGTAATTACATGTTCCTGTAATATGGAGTGTGCGTGGAAGGGATTGTTCCGAGTCGTTTCGAAATCGCTACGTATATGTAATTATGGTTCGGGGAATCACAGGTTCCTGTAATATAAAGTTTGCGTGGAAGGCATTGTTCCGAGTCGTTTCGAAATCGCTACGTATATTTAATTATGGTTCGGGGAATTACAGGTTCCTGTAATATGAAGTTTGCGTGGAAGGAATTGTTCCGAGTCGTTTCGAAATCGCTACGTATATTTAATTATGGTTCTGTGATGACGTCATAGCGACCTAGGTCACGTCTATTTTTGCATCAAACGCCTATCATTTCGTAAACACGCGTTATATAATTTTTTACTTATATGGTCACGTCAATGTGTGTCGGTGGCGCCATCTAGCGTACGTTGTGCGACGTGTCCTATTACAGGATGCCGTAGTGGTAAATAAAGAAAATTCGTGAAACTCAAGGTTACAGACCATCGAGTCGACGACGCTTAATGTCGGAGCGTTATAAACAAAGGTATCATATTTCACAGTTTATTTTACTGATAAGCATTTACGTTCTAGCGCAAATAACAAGCTGGGACTTGCATCTAATATTTTGTTGACGAAAAAAAGGATATTTTCACTGCAGATTAACTATGGGAAATTTAATGAATTAAATGAGTCACACTTGTTTTTTAAAATTAAAACCTATTTATTTATTAAACCATAGGGTACATTGACTTTTTCCAATATGGTACGTTAAATTCAATAATAATATTACGCAGCAAATGGCAATAAATATGACTACATTTAAAGTGGATTTCGGTGCGATGTCGTTGTCTGATAGAGTCTTATGGGAATTATTGTATGTTTCTTCTTGCTGTTGTGGTTCTCTGATGAGAGTTCTCCATTCGGTATCTCCAACAGTTTCATCATGAAAATGCAGCCTCACCTTGTAACGCAGGTACGCCAATGACGTCGACGACGGTATACGAGTCGTGAAAACAGCTAAATGGCCCTTATCTATTACTTCATAATGCATTTCTGTCCACGATGTTGTTTTATTAGGTGCGGAAAAGTCCAGCATTATTGACATTTTGTGGACATTGTACGGTCTGTGTACATAGAAACTATTTTGCACAAGGGCAACCAAGAGAACATAGTACGATTGACTTGACACCATCATGGTTAGTAATTGAATGATAAGATTCATTTCCACATCCTTAATAAATTGGCGCAATGGTTAATATAATGCAAACGATTTTTTTCACCAAGAAAACTTTTATTTTAATAGAAACATCATACAAATTAGTCAACTTCATCGTAACCTATATATTTTGCAATAATATCATCACACATGTATTTAGCGCCATACTGTTTTAATTGCTGATGTAGTCCATACTGATTCATAAGCACACATAGGTCCTCCAAGGAGATGGAATTAGCCAGATAAAGATTACAAGACTTGACACCATTTTCATATTTTTCCACATCTTGCGTGGAAAACCAACCATTAGTGCCGGGTTCTTGCTCAAGTGCTTGAAGTAAAAAGTACATGTCTGTTTCTAAACTAGTACGTAGCAAATAGACAGCTTGTCTTATACAGGAAGATTGATGATGGCAGCAGGCATCACCACGACGACCAGTAATACTACAACCGGACATTTTGACTCTTCAAAGGTTGCTATTGTAATGTGAAAAATAAAAAGCAAGCATGTTTTTTATAGTCATTTATTAATACTTATACTAATTGGATTGGAGGGTGGTACAACACGCGTCCAGCTTATCTAAATCCCTGACAATTTTG